TCTTGCCTCAAAATGAAGAATTAAAAAGGGGCTGGGGATGTAGCTCAGTGCAAAGACTGGAAAAAGCAAGAAAAAAAAATTAGTTTTCATCCTACAATTCATAGTAGTATAACCACAGAATGAAATGCCTAAAATTAAGAAAAGTCTCCTGTCAGGAGTGATGGTGCACACCTGTAATCCCAGCACTGGGAGGCTGAGGCAGGAGGATTGCTACAAGTTCGAGGCCAACCTGCAAGTCCAGCCTTCTCACTGCACTATGCTACCACACTGGCATATCTTTCTCCTGATCTGAATGTCCAGCAAGTGCCCGTAAAATGAATACGAACCGGTACTGTGTGAACACGAGCATTCGGCTGCTCAGCTGCGCTGGCTCCACTTCAGGGGTGCTCAAGCCACAGGAAGCAAGCGCTGCTGTGCTGGGCGCACAGACCTGGGCTCCCGGCCTCGCTGTACTGTGCACCTGCCTCGCCTCAGCTCGCATGCACCTTTGGTGCTGCCTATGTTTGAGCTGTGGGGGCTGCAGGCCCTCTGGGAAGGCAGATGGCGCCTCCTCTCCTCTTGAATGCACCCCAGAAGCTGTCCTCTAAGGGCTGGAAGCCAGAATTCCTCTAGATGTGGCTTGGTCAGCCCGCCGCCTGCTCTCTTGCTGAAGATGTTACTCCTGCCTGCTGTAAAGAACACCATGATGAACATCTCCATGCAGCTTTCAGTTTTTCTTCCTGTAACTTGGGTGCCTGCTTAGATGAGTTCCAGGAGAAGCATCTGGATTTAGGATATAGCATGGGTCTGCGGTTCACCCAGCTCACCAGCTTGTTCCCACATGCCACATGGGGTTCTGTGTGCCACGCTGTCTGCACTGGACAGAGACTGAGGATACAGACTCACTGATCCTCTGCACTCCAGCCCTGACCCTGGGTAAGGAAGGCACTAATAGCACCCAGAGGCCAGGCCCAGGGGACCCGCAGGGGCTTTGGGAGGAGATGCGTCCACAGTGACCATCCCCAGTGGGCCCAGAACGCTCCTCTGGTCGTGGATGGCCAGGTCGTTCATAGGCTGGGGCTGGGGTGTCAGGAAGCAGCTCTGGGCTTGGCAGAAGGCACATAGGTAGCCCACGAACGTGGAGACTCCAGGGGACCCTTCTGGGAACTACCTGCCAACTGAGACGCATCCCTGGGGCGGTCTTCCTCTCCCCACACCTGTAGTTCTTCACTTCTGCCACTAGAGAGGGCCCGTGCGCCGACCGACCTGCCCTGTCCTGCTGCCTTGGGCGGAGCCGTGGAGTCCAGGTAACCGGAAACCTGGACTCCAGAGGATTGGGGCACCGGGTGGTCCCCGGAGCCACGCCTGCCACCGGCGCCCAGCCCCGCAGATCTCAGCTTGATGCCCCTCCCCGCTCCGCCCACGAGGCCCCGCCCCCTTCAGGTCTTCCGCTGGGAGGGTTCTCAAGTCTGCAGCAGCCTTAAACCCAGGATGGCGAAGCTTAAAAGAGCCAGTGTCCGAGCTGCAATACAAAACCCCACTTATTTACTTTAAAGTGGCAACGTCGCGCAGTCATCAGAGGAAGCTCTGCCGCCATGGAGAAGCTAGAGCTACTTGACTCGCGTGCTGGCTGGGTGGGCTCTGCGTGCCCTCGGTGGCACTCGTGCTGTACGTTCGCCACCACCGCCCCAAGCCCTAGGAGAGTTCAAAGTACACGTTCTCTCTCCACCCCGCGACTCTGGTTTTGTAGGTCTGGGTGAGGCCCAGGAGGCGGGAGTTTTCAAAACTGCCCTGGAGGTTCAGAACAATCAGCCTTTCAGCCTTCCAGCGCAGCCTTGGGAAAGGTGTGCGGCAGAGGGCGGGGCAGAAGCAGCGAGCAACATCCGCCCTCCAGGCGACTAAGGCAGCACATGGGACACAGGGACACAGCCTGGGGAAAATGCAGGTTCCAGGGCCGGCTGCCTTCTTTGCCACATCAGCCCGCCCCCTTCTAGTGCTGGGGCTCCATCCCAGGGCTCACAGCATCTGCTTTTAAAATAAGTGTCTTCATAAAAATACACATATATCTCTTCAGCGGCCTGTCACCAGGATGGGTTTGTCACCACCTGACACCTGTCACTTCTGATGAGAAGACAGGCTTGTTCTGTCCCAATCATAGCTGCCTCAAAATTAAAAATTAAAAGGGGCGGGGGGGGGGCCTGGAAACACAGCCAGAGGCAAAGGTCTAGATTTAAGCCACAAAATTACAGAAACCAAAACCAAAACCAAAATGCCACAGCTGGCCCCTCCCTGTGCTCCTGCTCCGGGTGGCGGCTCAGCCCCTCCTGCCTGGCCCCCCAGATACTGTCTGCTGTGGAGCTCCCCTCTCTCGCCAGAGGCCAAGTCTATGCCATTATCCAACCTTGGACTTTTAGCTTTTAAAATTGTAAGCTAAAAAAGAAAAAACCAAAAAATCTGTTTTCCTTCTCAGTACTCAGCCACGGGTATTGTGTTAGAGCAACAGAAAATGGTCTAACGCACCAACCGAGTCCAGGGCAGCCCTGCTCCACTGCACTGGCAGAGTGTGAGGGACAAGGGTAACCCTAAGGTGGACAGGCAAAAGGGTAAGCAGCAGCCACGAAGCTGAGTGTGAGCAGGGACAGGAGGACGTGGCCATTGCCCAGCTCCTGGGCCAGGCCTGCAGACTGAGTGGCCCAGCCTGGAATGCAACCCTGATACCCACTACCTGCAGAAGATTCCAGGCCACCCTCCAGGCCATTCCTCCTGCAACAGGAGACACCTGAGGGCTGCTGTACACACGAGATCAGACAGCCGGACAGGTGAAGCCAGGGTTTGAAGCAGATCTGCCAGTGCTGAAGTTCACCCACAGCTGTAGCCAGGTGTATAGCCTGGTGTGACAGCCAGGACCCAGCAGGAGAACAGCGCAGCGCAGGGAAAGCATCCCCACCTTAGTCTTGAAAATCCAGACCAAGGGCCCCAGCAGGGCTGAATCTCACACTCTAGCTGGCTGGTGAGCCCAGATCGAAGGCTGGAGCTCTGGGGCCGCAGGAGGGAGGCTCCCCAGCAGCTACCAGAGCTGCTGGCAGCTGTCGTGACCTCCACGGAGGGTGCCAACAGCATCCCTGTCTGCTGTGACAAACTCATCTCCCCATGCCGCACATATCCCCTGGGGGCTGAGTCTGCCTTGGGTGAGAGTCACTGCTCTGGAAGCACCGCAGTCAGCTGGGCAGCAGGGCTGGGTACTCCATGAGGAGAGCCCAGGTGCAGCCAGGGTGGGGACTACCATGGAGGACATTGCTTCCCACGATGATCCCACAAAATGGGTAGCATTACCCCATATTATGGCAGGGAAACAGAAGCCCCAAGAAGCGAAGGAAGTCTCCCAGGTCTATGCCAACTAGGGGTGCCAGGACTCCATTAGCACACAGCTCCTGAATGGCCAGATTTGAGCCCCTGATGGGTAGGGCTGCAAGGCAGACAGTCAAGCAACCCAGCCTGTACTCCAGTTCTGCCACCCCCTCCTCAACCCGGAGACCAAGACCGGATTAGACTCAGCTACCACCTCTCTGGGGAGGGGAGAGGAACAGAAGCCAGGCACTGACCCCTACCAATCAGCCCGGGCCCCCAAGAGTGTCTGGAACCACTGCAGGGACCACCGCACTACCAGTGAGGCACCACCAGGAGGCGCTCTAGTGGACCCTGGCTGGGCCCAGAGAGGGCAAGACTTTCCCCACGGAGCCCCTGGGCAGGAACCTGTCAGGGCTCAGGGACCTTCAGGCCTCAGGGACTCTCCATGAGGACCTGGACTCCCCACTATGAGAACTGCTTCCTTCATCTGTGCTCTCAAACACAGGAGACAAGCGTTACTGGTTCAGCCTGGGCTTTAATGGAGCAGTCTAATTAGGGCATAAAATCAGGAAAGAATCCATCTTGGACCTCTTCCTGCCAGAGAGGAAAGCATGTATGTCTCTCAGCCCTGCCCTTTGCCACCTGGCTTCCATCAGCCCTGAGAGGCCGCTGGTGCCTGGCTGGTGGACCCAGCTGACTCCAAATCTGGGCGTGGCTTGTACCCTACCTGGTGACCTCCAGCAAATCGCTAACCTCTCCCAAGCCACCCTTTCCCCCTCCATACAAATCCCTAGTCTGCCACAGAGATGCCCAGTGCCCTAGTGGCTGCCCTGCACAAACCTGGCTTAGCCGTGAGTTCACATGACGAACAGCGTCTGCTGGTACTGCCCTTTTTACTAAATTGAGTGAGTACAGGACCACACCTTGAGCCCAGAAAGGGCGGGAACACCCACGTCCACACTGGGTTCCCCAAGTGCCTGGGTCTGCACACCCTGGCACATGCCACCTCCTGTGAGGCCCTGGAGACACCAGGAGATGGATGCAGTGACCACACTCCCCACTCAGTGGTCTCCTAGGACTCCAAAGTCCAGGGAAGCCACTGCAAAGTATGGAGGAACTCCTGCCCGCAACCCATAACCTGAGCTGTGAAGGCTACCGTCAGGGAGCCCACGCACTGCAGTGCCTCGTAATGCACGTCAGCGGCCAAACTGGGTGAATGCAGCCAACTTCCTGGCTCTAAGTGGCAGATGCCAGGAGTCCCCACCGACCAGGTCATGTGGCTGATGGGCTGGAGGGCTGAGCATGGGGCCTAGCTAGGGACTAAGCATTGAGGCAAAAATGACCTCAAGCCAGTACTGTAAGCCTTGTGGGGCCACTAGGCCTCTTAGGCGCTTGCTGACGGGAGAACCAACATCCCAGGCCTCCCCAGGAGTGCCAACCAGGATCCAGGCAGATCAGGCAGGGGTGGCCCAGTCCAGGGTGAGGCTCCCAGAGGGAAGAGGAGAGACAGGCATTGGGTCCGATGTGCATCCTGCACCATCGACCTTGCAGCAAATGATGGCACCCCAACTCCTGGCTTTCATCGTGTGGCCGCGGCACCCACGGGAACAGCAGGACCCATAGGCAGGTGGGCAGCTGCTGTGCTGCTGCAGGACCCCCACCTGGGGACTCACCTGCCCTCGCTCTCCAGGAATGCGGAGCTGCTGCCCTCCACCAGGGCCGCGCTGATGGGCGACAGGCAAAAAGGTGAGGAGAAGGCGTCTGAGTCTGAGTCAAAGGAGCTGTCCCTGCTCACGCCATCTGCCGACAGCTCCAGGGAGCCTTCCTCCTCCCCGGCCTCGGGCCGAGCCTCCCGGCCCTCCTCTGTCTCATCCTGGAAACTGACTGTAGACAGGATCCCAGAGTCACTGTGGGCAGGCTGCGAGGCAGAGAGGGTACTGTCCACCCCAGGGCCTTGGGCCAGCCTCTCCCCATCCTCGGGTGAAGGGCTGATGTGCACAGCATCCTGGACGCTCTGGCCCACCACCAGGATGTCCTTGTCTTTGGGGATCAATGTGGGCCTCGGCTCCGCGGGGGAGGCCTGGCAGGGGACACCGGTACTTAGGATGCGGTGGCGCCGAGGGCGTGGTGCCTTGCGAACCGGGGAGCTCTCGGGGGTGATGTAGCGCAGGGCTTCCTCGTCCTGCCGCTGGATGCGGGTGTTGGGGACCCACGCCAGGATGAGGGTGGTGCCCAGCAATTCATCCTTCTCCATGTACAAGCACAGGTACCCTGCGGGGAGTGGCAGGACAAGGTTAGAGAGACCATGGAGGCTGCCAGAGACTGTTCCCACAGAGGTCACCCCAGCACAGGACGCCCCATGCAGATGCCACATGCAGAGTGGCCTTGAGCTAAGTGGGTCCAGGCTGAGTCCAGTGCAGACCCTCACTATGGGCATTTTCCAAGCACAGCTCTGTGGCGGCTCTGGGGTAGTGGCCCGAGCAGCACACCCCCCAAGGGGTGTGCTCTTCCCCAAGGGAGCACTCTCCAGGTTTCAGGCCTCTGACTGTCTCCTCTCTCACCTGCCTGCCTGTTGTGTTGCCTTCATCTCTGTGTGAGGTCAGGCCAGTAGGGAAGCCCAGCAACCTCTGGAAACCAGCATCCCACAGGAGGGGCACATCGGGCTGGAGGTTTGATTGGGTCCAAGAGGGGTAGTGCACACGCCTTTCCAGACAGCCCCAGCAAGTGCAGTGTTGTGGGTGAAGGTGCCAGGTTCCGGGACTGCTGTGAGCACTGGAGTTACACACCCACTGCTGACCGAGATGACCAAGTTCACCAACACCGGCAGCGAGTTACTGGGTTTTAGGGGGAAAGTGCCATTTCCTGGTGCGTCCCAAGGGTGCCTCACAATATCTCAATCCCTGGGCTATGGCACCCTATGTCTCCACACCCCTATGCAGAGCCCCATCGGCAGAAGCCTGCACCTTTGACCACACCTTTTAGGACTTCAGGTCCAGTCAGCATCTCCTTGGTACCTCTCTGGCTTCCCAGAGAGGACAGGACACATGGGGCTGTCAGCCAGTGCACATGAGAGTGCCAGAAGGTGAGGCTGGATTTCCCACACCTGGCTTCTGGGAGGCAGACCAGAGCCTGAGACCTCCACCCATGCTGGCCCTGGCTGTCCACCGAATTGCAGCATGAATGCCCCATGGAACTCCCTGGGTGATGTCCTCAGTCCCCAAACTCAGAACCCAGAATGCCTGCCCTTTTGTTTCTCCTTGGGCTGAGACCACACAGGGTCAAATGACTGCTATGGTCCCCTCCATGGGTCCAGGACTCCAGTCTCCTGTTCATGGGAAGGGAGGTACCTGGGCCCAGGGCAGCCACAGGCCACAGGGGAGAAGGCATTGTGCATCCTGAAGCTGCTCAGCCTCTCTGAGCAGCTGTATCCTCATCTACCAGAGGTCTTCTGTGCTCCAGTGAGCTGGCCCTGGCACCCAGAGCCCATTCTGTGGTGACAGCTACTCATCCTGGAAAACGAAACACCTGTTTCCCTTTTTATGTGCTTTGAGTTGCGCCTTTTAGCACCCCAGCTCAGAGCACGGCCTGGCCCTGTCAAATGAAAAACAAAAGACACTGTCCTTCTCTGTGGCTGTGCTGGAGTTGGCAAAGGCACAAGAAAGAGTGTGCCAGTCCTGGAACCATGAGTGTTCCTGGAACGGCTGCAGATGACAAAGTCCCACCACAGAAAGCCTGGAAAGTTCCTCTCATCACCTTCACCCTGCAAAGCTCCTGGTCCCCAAATCTCATATGTGAGGGGAAAAAACACAGGGCCTATGGTTTCTGGGGAATTCCTGCTGACCAGCCTCCCCTCCCTGGACTTTTGACCTTGGGGTCTCCTCTCCTTTGTGCAATATCCTCAGGGGCTCCCCTCCTCAGGCCTCTAGCTCAGGCTGTCCCCTCCCCAGCTCTGTACTCTGGGGTCTTTCCTCCTTGGCTCACCTGGGTGATGCTCCCCCAGGCCCTGCAGCCCCTCGGGTGGGTGCACACAGACATTGTTCTTAGAGTAGATGATCTCTCCATCCAGGACAGAGGGGGATCCACCAGTGCCACTGGGGGTGAGGGTCAGGAAATCTGAGGCTTTGGAGGAGGCTCGGCGAAGCAGGCGGCCCAGAGACATTGCTGGGTGCGTGTTTCCATCCTCCGCACTCTTCAGCCCAGGCAGGGCTCGTCACGACTTGCCTGGGGGAGGGAGAGAGAGGAGATGCATGGATGACAAGGTCGTGAACAAACACCAAGCGTCCCCACAGCCATGCCCTGCCTTGTACCAGCAGACACCCCAGGGTGTTCACCACAGAACAGGCCTCGCCAGTGCAGCCCGGTGAGCGGGACGAGTGCCTCTGCCTCGGCTGGCTGCTTTGCTTCCCAGGCTGTCCTGTGAGCTGCAGAGTGCTGAGAGGCATCTGGGCTCAGTCCTCCATGTGGTGCTGGCCACTCCCTTCCCAACGGATAACTAAAAATGTCTCCAGACGTTACCAACAGCAACAGTCTCCACCTCTGAGACCGCTGGGCCAGAGGGACCCTACTGCCAAGGAGCCATCTCATTAAGCTTCCAAGATTCCTCTTCCTGGTTCTCACTGGCACCAGCAAGCTCTTTCTCCCTGGACTTACACCCTCCTCCTCCTCCTTCTCACCCTTCCCAACACCCAGTTCCCTACCCTGAGTCTTCCCTGGCATCCTGACGCCTATGGAGCCACAAATGTTTGAAAGACCCATACAATTCACACACACACACACACACACACACACACACACACACACACACGTGCACAAACATGCACACAAAACTAGAAATAAAATCAGTACCCAGAATACTTTATATAAGAAAGAGGATCAGTATGGAGACTATATGAAGAATTACTACGAAGTCATTGCAAAAAAGAGCCAAAATCTTAATAAAGAAAATGGACAGGTCACATAGACAGAAAACCGAGGAACTAACAAACATAGAAAGAGTGTCACTTTCAAACAAAAGTGTGATAGCCCACAGCCTGGCAAAAGGCCGTGCGAAATCTGAAGATCTGATCACTCAGGAGAGTACAGAGGAAAAGGTGCCCGCACGGGCTTTGCTCTGCTCCAGGTGGGGTGGGGTAGTGATTGGATCTGATAGGTCTGGTCTCCCGGAGAATTTCAGGAAATACCCTGGAATGATCTTTCATAGTGCAGGCTGCCATCCTCCCAGTGGTGGATGCCAAAATCAGTTCAGTGGGTCCAGATCAGCACGTGAGGGAAAAAGAAGAGGAAATGCACGGAGGTCTGGGCTGGGTCAGAAACTTCCTGCTTTAGGGGCTGGGGATTTAGCTCAGCGGCATAAGCGCCTGCCTTGCAAGCAGGCAGTCGTGAGTTCGATCCCTAGTACCGAAAAAGACGAATAAAAAAAAGAAACTTCCTGTTTTGTCAGTGTCCTGCATTCAGCAACCGGGGACGCACACGTAAGCCCGACTTCCAATACTTGACCTGCCATGGCTGATGTTGCAGAACTGCAAGAGCAGAATATACTCAGACTCTGAGTTTCAGTCTTTTCCCAGGCAGGACACTCTCTCAAGATGCTGGGCAGTAGCTGATGTTGGATAGGTAAGGTGGACTAGATGCACTCTGAATTTACAATATTTTCTTTTTTTAATTATTTTTTTTGGAGACAAGGTCTCATTACATCAGGTTGGCCTTGAAATCACTATGTAGCTCAAGCTATCCATAAACTCACAATGATCTTCCTGCCTCAGCCTCCTGAGTGCTGGGATTATACACATGTACTATCATGCCTGGAAATATTTAATTTACAAAGCCTGGTGAGTGCAAGGTCCTAAGTTTGATTCCTGATACCCTGCACGCGCGCGCGTGTGCACACACACACACACACACACACAAATAAAAGGATTTATTGTATGTGACCTCATCATCAATCATGGAGCATGTGTACTACTGCGTACATATCAAGTAATCTGGAAGAGTCTTGGGTAGAAACCCTATCCTTCTTTACAAGGAGCCAACCATAAGGATGTTTGAAAGCCAGTTTGCACCCAAGGAAGTCAGAAACAGCACAGATCTGGGCAATAGCTCTGAGAGCAAATCAGAGGTTCGCACTTGGATGGTTCTCACAAACACACACACCAAACCAAATCATGGGATGCCCAAGGCCTGAGGTTATCTTGCACATGAAGTGACAGGTATGCAGCTATACGGCATCCTGGCTGTCAGTTATGAATGTCTGGAACAGGTGCATGCGAGGCAGGTGGAGATCAACTAAAAGAATGCTCAGGAAAGCGGTGAGGGCAGAACTGCCCCACAAGGGGCTTCCGCTTTCCCTCTATGAAAGAAAAAATCTTCAAGCCAAAATAATATTATGGATTGTGAGTGGAAAAACCAATTGTGATATACGGATTAGTACTCAGCCTTAAACAAGAAAGACATTCTGACACACTATTATAGCTTACGTCTAGATGCCCCCCAAAATTTCATGTGCTCATCAGTGGGGCTTTTGAGAATGACTGGATCATGGGTATGTGACACTGGATCATTGCTGTATGACACTGGATTATGGGCATGTGGTGCTGGATCAGTCCTGATTGGTTTAGTATAGTTCTGTGTGCAGAAGATAGATTTACTGTAAAGGGAAGACCCAATCTGAGTGTAGGTGGCACCAACAAATAGGCTTGTGGCCTGAATGGAATGAAAAGGGAAAGAAGGAAATTCACTGAGTCCTGCCTGCTCTGCCACAGACTGCTTCTCTTCTGCCATGCCACCTTGCCTTAGAGCTGGCTGACTATGAACTGAAACCTCCACAAACTGTAAGCCAAAAAACTCTTTCCTCCTTTAACTTGTAGGTCTCAGGTATTTTGTCCTTAGCAACAAGAAAGTAACTAAGATATACATGGTACAATGTCAGTGGAGACCTCGGTGATACAGTCATGAGCCGCTTAACAGCAGGAATCCATTCTGAAAAACTTGTCACTAGGCAACTCAGTGGTTATGCAAACACCAGAGAGTCCTGACACCAACAAAGCCAGCTACGCCACCATAAGGTCAGACTCTTGTGGAACCACCAACAGATCAGTGCCCATCATTGATGGAAATGTAGAGGCAAAAGATGAATACAGTATTGTGTGACCCCATTTATACCAAGCCCCTATTACAGTCAGAGTCACAGACAGAGAGTGTGGAGATGATTGCCAGGGCTGGGCGGGGAGGCACAGGGGCTTAGGGCTCCTAGGTGTGGAGCTTGGGTCTGGGGAAGGTGAAAGTTCCTGGAGATGGCAGTGATGGTGGCACAGTGGTAAGATGGCACATCTCACATGTATTTTAAATAGCGTGACCTTGAGATGTTACTGACTGATGGGAAGTGTCTGAGGGGTATGTTACATTGTGCTTTGGACTGTCTGCGTTTCCAACACTTCTCCAAAAACCACTGCCATGCAAGGTGCTCCCCAGATCTGGTCTTCTTATTTCTGGCACCTGGATAGGCTCTGGGGGGAGGGAGGCAGGCAGTAGCTCAGCAGGACTGGCTCCACCCTGCAGGAAGCAGGGGGAAGGTCTCAGTGGGGACAGCCATTGTCCCAGCCCCAGGTGGCTCACTGCTTGATCGTCAGCCCCACCTGTCTCTCTGGGTGCCCATCCTCTGCCCCCTACTCCCTTGGCTCCCTCTGTGTGCTTCCTGTTGCCTCTGTGGTTATCAAACACAGCACGGCAGCAACTGCAGGCACCTTTCCACCGAGAGATTCACCGCTGCAGTCTCCCTTGCAGCTGAGGTCTCTAACATCAGTACCAGTGGGTACCTTTACAAATACAGCGGTACCCTGGTTCACGAACAGAAGCATTTTTCTTTGTGAACTCTGCATCAGGTGATGAACACAACCCCAGCTGGCCTTTCCAGAATCAAGGAATGAACTACATTCACAAATCAAGGTGCCATTACTCAGCTCTGGACCTCCCCCAGCACCCCCACTCACTTGCTCCCCACAATGCTGCCTCTCCTGGACCTCTCCTCAGCCTAATGCTCCCAGCATGGGCTGCACAGCTGACTTTGCCTCTTGGTCCAGTTGGCAGACTTACTCTGCAAAGGCTTCCAGCTGGTCAGGCTGGATGACAGCTCTGCTCCTGGGGACTGAGTGTCAAAGGACCAACGAAGCAAATGTGAAACATTGAAATTTTACAGGCACCGAGCTTAGCTTTCTTGTCAGCTTCACGTCCCAGCCAGCCTGCCTGAAAAGCCTTGTATCCGCTCCTGGTTGAGAGAGTGGTCTTCTCTCACCTTGGTCACTATGGTCCTTGTTGTTTAAAGACCTCATCACACTCCGTGATATATGACAAACAAGTTGTGAACTTTGTCAAAAAAAAAAAAAGAAAGAAAGAAAGAAAAAAGCATGAGTTCGATCCCTGGTACCGATAAAAACAAAAAAGACAAAAAAAAAAAAAAAATAAGAAGCAAGCCACACACTGAAACATATACATCGGAAAATATGTTTCCCATTAATTATCTGAAAAAGCTGCACCCTTATTCTAACTTTGTCATCCATAATATTTTCAGAATTGAACACCTCTTTTTTTTTTTTTTTTTTTTTTGGTACTAGGGATTGAACTCATGACCTTACGCTTGCCAGGCAGGCACTTAAGCCACTGAGCTAAATCTCCAGCCCCTAGAATTCAACACCTCTTGAGGAATGATCAGGTCAGATAATAATCCATACGAGAGACCAGAACCCTTTTCCTGAGAGGGCCATCCCTGATAAAAATTCAATGTGAGCCACAATTAAAAATTTTTCTAGCAGCCTCCATTTAAAAAGGAAACAGAAACAAGTGAAATTAATTTTAATAATATGGGATTTGAACCCAATATATTCAAGTTATTGTCCTTTCAGTGCATGTGCAACATGAAAAAATGATTAATGATAGATGTTAAATTCTCGAAGTCTTCAAAATCTGGTGGGTCACCAGTGACTATTCTCCTGCTCAGTGGCTGCCGAGGCACTGGCCATGGCCCTGGCCGTGGCTTCTGGTGTGACCAAGACATAGGAAGGGCCAGATGGTTCCTTTGAAGGCTCAAGTGGCCATAACTTAGTGTATCTTGGGTTCAGCTGCCAACAACTCTTAGCTGCTTCCAAAAATCAGTCATCTTTGGGGTTGGGGGTTAGCTCAGCCCCGTCTGGTAAGCCCAAGGTCGTGAGTTGGATCCCTGGTACGAAAGA